TAGATTTGCTAGGATGACAGAATTGAACAATTAAAAGGATGTTTAAAAAAGAAACAAGACGAAGCCAGCTACGATCTGGCTAGTTTGTATGAAAAGCCAAGGTAGCCAGTACTCTCGGTGCACTAAAGTCAATCCTTAAGTGTTTTATTTAGACGAGCTAAACACAATGACTCTGGTCATGGATGTCTAAGTCAGACTTAGGCAAAATTTAGATGCTGATCCATAATGAGAATATAAATTTTAACTTATATTCACATTTGGGGGCAAGGAGCAGAGATGAGTAACACTAGAGATGAGTTGCTATTTTGTAACACTTGGCAAAAATTTTAAAATGTTTTTTGTTGTTATGTTCTTCGAGATGAGCTCATTACAGATTAGCCAAAATGTGATACTAATTATTGTGTTCTCTCCTAGATAAGTCCAGCTAAGATGAGATATGAGATGTTGCACTTAGAAGAATTTGTAAGAAGCAAATATTTAAAGGCAGTGAAAGTACAGAAGGCATACACTTAGTCAAAAAGAAGAAACTACATGCATTCACCAAAAACATCTAAATGTACTTTGGCCTTATAAAAGCAGAAGATTGTTCCAAATTAAACCACAGACAGAAAGAAAAAGTACAACTGAAAAAAAAAGGAAAAGAAAAAATCCAAGTGCTAGATGTTGGATCTCGGGTAGGTGTCTCTAACTGTGCTACCTCAGTAGTTGGCAGTGTGTCAGCCTCGGTAGACAGTGTTATAGCTTTATCAGCCTTAGTGTCAACTGCAATCTTTTCATCAATTTCCTTTAAGGTCTCCTCTAGACTCTTGTCAGCTAAGAGAAGTTCATCCCCTTTGATCGAAGAAGTACTCTTGGAAACTTCTTTGCCATCATCCCCAATCAGATCCAGGACCTGGTTGTTAAAGGTTGGGAACTTTACTCCAGCAACAGCGGTGTCTACGTCTTGATCTTTCTCTTCTTCTTCTCTTTTCCCTTCCTCAGATTGGATAGGAAAATGGGAGAAGGCCGGAACGTCAAGTTGGCCAAGGTCTCTAAGAGGAAAGTCCTCGGGGACATATAACTTCTTTAGTGTCGCTATCCACCTAAGGTAGTAGCCTTTGTTGCAAGTTAGGTTTACTTGTTTCTTGTATTGGTCCCTGACGTACTCTTGGCCTTTGTTGTAGGCTTTTTCGTCGGTCGCGTTGATCTCTTTGTCTTTTGTAGCTAGGGCCTCGGCTTGATCTTTCTCAACTTTAGCGGCCTTTTCCTGGGATGCCTTGGCTGTGGCCTCAGCCTTTTGCTCAGCTTTCCTCGCCACATTGACCTTATCGAGCAGTTTTATCCTTAGTTTCTCAACCTGATTAAGTTGATCAAGATAGTCAGCAACCTCCTGTGTTTTCTTCGTGAGCTCTTTCTTCATTAACTCGACGTGAACATGCTGGATAGTCTGCAAAGAAGGGAAGATGAGTTAGTACAATATATGAATAATCCTAAGTGTACAGTACTTAATTAAAAGCAAAATGAAAGCTTACCATTATTGAGTTCCTCATCATGAATGTGAAGTGTTCGTATTCATTGTAATCACTAATGGCTTACATGTCAGTAGGGAAGAACACAACGGCTAACAGGGCAGCAGTGATCTCAGGCTGGTGAGAGGTACTTTCGCTCAGCTTGATGGGATGGCCGTCGATTGAGATGTCGGGAATAAAGGCATCTGAGGTGTCACTGGTCACAAAAGAATTTGAGTGCTTTGGTGTTGGGGCATCGGCAGAATTGGTGGTGGCCTACTTTTTCTCTACCTCAGTCATCTTGGATATTGTGATGGTGTTTTCAAGGTCCTTCTCTTCGGCAGAATGAGTGATTGTGACCTTGGTCTTTGCCTTGGCCTTTTTCAGTCTCTTCTGTTTCTCAACAAAAGGTGGAGAAGGGGTTGAGTGGACTGATACCACATTGGGAAGGCTGGCGAAGAGGTCATTGGCAATGGTTTCTTTGCAACCCATATCTTTGGATATCACAACAATTGTAACTCTGATGCCGAGGTGATAGACAAGTAGTGCAATTGGTGTGTTTGTTGGGTTGTACGCTAGAAGGTTGGAACTTCATTTTCTACTCATGTTCCTTCCTGCGGGAGTGTTGGTATGTCAGTGACGATGTTGGCTGGAAGGCTGATTTACTGGTTGAGAGGTGGAGGCTTGGTCTGTGCATGGGAATGATATTGCTGGTGGTGTTGTGGCAGAGAATGGAGTCTTGCTCTTGGATAGGATGTCGGGTAGCGGAGACTGATATGTTGGCACGTAGTTGAGCAGAATGGGGGCCTTGCGATCTTTGATTGGTAGGTTTAGAAGTTGGGCTAGGTCATTCTGCTTAACATATGACCTGTGGAAGGATTTGCTCAGCTAAGAGAAGTTCTGTAAAAATAAGAGAAAAAAAATATGAAAAATCGACTAAGTATGAGAGAATGATGTTGAAAGTGTGTGATCTAAGGAAACTAAATGCTTACCCTCATCTTCACTAAAGATCCCTCTGTGCAAGGGAAGAGGCGCAGTTCATCATTTGGTGCAAACTCCCAGTTGCCCAAGACAATGAGATAGTTTTCTCCAGCACCCTTGTTGGAGTTTGGAAGATCGGCTATCAGCTTGTAAGCGGTTGACCGGGGTATGAGATAGTAGGAGATGCCACTGGTAGACTTGAAACTACACATAGTGTAGTAGTATTGGATGTCGGGGCAGGGTGAGCCTAGTGTTATGTCCGCAACATATCTCAACTATGCCATTGACTATTCTCAAGTTGTTAATGGCTAGTCGCATGGGGTTAATGCGATAATAATGCATTACCTCTCGGAAAAGGATGCCAAAGGGGAATCGGATTCCACCCTCAATGATTGATACCATGGAGAAGGCCATATAGTTTTCCCCAGGCATGATAGAATTGTTCTCGCCGACTAGTCTAATCAGATGTCGACTGGTATGTTAAATTCTTGACGAAAATACTCTAGTTTGCTAGGGAGTCTACTCTCCACTTGAACATACCCATTATCTCGGCTAATGTTTGGGTGCTGATCGCCTAAGGTGGTTTTGATATTCTAGGTGTTCTGTACCTAGGGTTTCTAATTTAGGCCCTAAAGTGTTTTGGGTTGAAGATTCTGGTAATCTACTGAAAAAGGTTTTTGGCATATTTTGTTTCAATTTTGCTAATATCCAAAACAAATCCCAATCCTAATCTAAAGAATGCAAGAGTAGTGGCAAGAATGAAAGCAATTTGGATAAGCAAGAAAGACAGAACTAGATTCAGAGGATGACGATAGAAAGGCAAGAACAAATTCAGAATCAAGTGCAAGGTGTGAAGTGCATCCAATCAAAAGTGTACCAATATTGTTCAATGAGTCTATGTACAGAAACTTGAAAGCATGCACAAACAACCAAGAATATAAAGAATAACTTCAAGAACATAGGAAACCAAAAATGAAATCAGAGGTATGAAGAACTTACAGGTCAGAGACAACAAAATGGATGCCAGAATCTGATTCACCTATCTCAAATGATGCTTTTGAACGGAGTAGAACATGTGATTGCTCGCCAGAGGTGGTTGAACAGAGTAGTTGTAGAATGCTTGAAGGTTTGGTAATGGCGGTTCATGAAAGATCGTAGAGAGAGAAAGACTGAAAGTGTGGAAGTAAAGGGACGAAAGAGAAAGGGAAGAGTTTTGTTGAAAAAATTGAAAAGGTGTCATTTCGAATCCTTGGGTGATAGCCCATGCTGACATCAAGCGGCATGGGGCCGAATTGATGTGACACAATTGGGACATGATCGGTGTGCTCCAGTTTGTTGAAGATACGTGGGGAAAACAGTTGGGATAGTTATGGCGTGACAGCTCACATGTGTCTTGGGTTCTGGGAATTCTTGAGGTAATGGGTCATGACCTCGACTTGTGATATGATCACTGGTGAGATAGCTCATTTGAATGTGATGTGTTAGTTCCTGGTTCAAGATGATTAGGCATTTGACTCCTTGTTTCTTGAAGCCGACGAGTCATGATCTCGGTCGAAGGAGTATCTCTAGCATGATGTTTAGTCGACATGTTGGGAGATCAGACCATATAGGTTCCATCACCTCAGGTTGGTGAGGTAATATTTTTAGGGTTGTCCAAGTGGCCGAGGTATTGGCCGAGGTGCCAGGTGGATGAGCCATGATCCCGAGATTGTTGTGACATTACCGAGATAAGGTGCGGTAATATCGGAATTCGAGATTGTCGGATAGAGGACAAGAATCTTAGATAAGTTGAGACTCTTTGTTTGGATAAAGATGAGGCTCTTAAATGAGATCATTCTTATCTAAATGAGAGTTCGAGATAAGTGTAATGCTTGAGTCCTATGAAGTGATACTTCTAGGGGGTGAGGGCACTGAATCTTGTGGGTCTAAGGTATTTTTTATTTTTTGTGAGATATTTACTTGAGCTATTATCTTGAGAGATAAGTGATTGACTTGATCCTCAGAGTGTCCCGAATGGACGAGCCACCGTGGTATTTCTTAATTTTTTATGCGCAGGTGTTTGACTTCATCTATTCTGTTGCGTGCTCTCCAGCTAAGTTCCTTAGATCTCTACAGAGAGATCGGTTTGATTGTGGGGTCAAAAATCAACACCCACACTAGCTAAGGTTGTGTTACCAAACAATCAACTTATTTTGTTTAATTCAATTAAGGTTGTGTTTTGTTTTGCGTTGATTATAGTTAGATTATGTGGAGGATGGCTTGTCCAAATGTTTTTTTATTTTTATTTATTTATTTATTTATTTATTTATTTTTTTGGGATGGTAATATGTGATTCTAAATTCGTGGTCAAAGCTTCTAAGAGAAGCTCAATAGTTTGAATGTTTGAAGAGAAGTTTCAGAGTCGGTGCCTCTGTTTTGCCTCTTCATCCTCTATTTTTCTGAAGAAAATTCAGATATGATTTTGTGTATTTTAGCTTTGTTTTCTTTTGTTTGATCACATACTTGCTGCTGAAATACTCAACACAAATAAATATACTAATTCAAATAGTAATTCTTTTCCTTTTACGAATTTGAGAATACAACAGGTTACCCAATGAAGGGTTTAGACTACAGTGCTCTGCATGGCCAGCAGCAGGCTCAATGGGGATGGACTAATATATTATACATATGATGTGTGTATAAATCTGGATCTTGTCTAATTTCATGAGCTAATAAACTGACAATAATACTAAAAATATGGATGTTAATTCCCTATGCTTTTCCTTTCTCTTAGATTCTTAATATAGTCTAGATTAATTCATATGATGTGTGTATAAATTTCATATTGTCCTACAAACAACTTGTTGGTTTAACTGAACCAGAGGTTGATCCTCCAACATTGACACATGATGCTTCTGCTGGTTGATTCCCGAAGGTGAGATTAACGTCTTCCAACCTTATCCCTTTGCATCCATACTTTTTACTACAATCAAATTTAACTGCAACTGCTGTCGCCGATGTTCCATGGATGTCTTGATATGTCACGTCACTAATAATCACACCAGAATTCTGTAGGAGGAAAAAGATTGTAATAAATAAGAGAATTGGTTAATGGCTATAGATAGCATTTAAATACCTGACCAGGGCAATTGTTATTGTGAGGACAGTAATTTTGATCAATTATGATGGGATTTTGGACATTGACCATAAAGAGGTTCTGAAAAACAATGCCCCGAACAAAACCATTGCTGGGCCTACCCCATGTCTTTATCCTCACACCATTTTGTGTACCCGTGAAAGTAACCGTTTTAACTGTCACATTCTGCACTCCAGGTTCTTGCAATTCCCATCCTAGACTTCCAATGCTGCACCAATCATGCATATATATTTAAATTTAGCCACAAATGGAATGGAATGTTTTGATATTTATATATGTTAGTAGTAAAGAAATATTGATATGTTACCTGATCCCATGGCCAGGGCCACAGGCAACGTTCTCGATCCATAAATTGGAACTGCCAGGGCCTATTGAGACACAATCGTCTCCTGTGGCTATCCTAGAGTTGGAGATGGTGACTCCAGATGATAATTGAATGTGAATACCATCTGTATTTGGGCTATTGCCTGAGGCCGAGACCTTCACTCCTTGTACCTTCACATTATGGCAGCCATCGATGGCAATGTGGAACATCTGACTGTTTAGTGATGTTAATCCATTAATTACAATGTCGTTCGAATTGTACAAGGCCAGTGTCTGCACCACACACACAAAAAAGCATTAATTAGTTCCAATTCCAAGTAATGCAAGGGAGGGGATTATGATATATTGAAAGTTTTTAACTTGATAATTATTCTGTTTGTTTGTTTTCCCCCCAAGAGTGTGCGTGTGTTATGAAACTTGATCTAGAAATCAACATCACTGGCGTACAGTGCAAGTGAAGCACTCTAAAAGCAGTTTATTAACTGCCACCCCACTTGCCCACAAAACTTGGCCACCCTTATTTTACTGTTCTCCTTCTCAAGAAAATAAAAAATAAAAACTTCCCATTTTATGTTTGGTTACCAAGAAACTTTCCACCTCACTGAGGAAAATAGTTGGCGAAGGCTTTGCATTTTTTTGGAAACTAGGTGCACCCTATGCTTGAAAAGTGAAAAGACAGCATTGGCCAATTGAAGCTAATCATAATATTGTCAACTCATAGATAGATTAAACTAAAAGCTAACCAAAGAAAAGGGTGGTTAATGGCAGTTTAATTCATAAACTTTCACAATAATATAAAGTACATACCGTAGCTCCAGTAGGGCAAGCCTTGCCAGAGGCTTTGCAAGCCCACAAACCAGTCCCTTGGCCATCAAGTGTTCCTCCAAAGATGGAAACCCCACTGACTTTCTCAAATATAAGCCAGCTTCCACCATTTCCAATAGCGCGGTAGTCAGAGGGAGCAACAAGAGTGCCATCGATACGGATTGTGATGGCTGTGTTCTTGCACTGTTCACCGTAGAACTTTGCTTTGTGAAGCAAGTACCTTCCTGGTGGGACATAGATTGTTGTAGGGTTTGCAGAGGCACAAGCTGCGTCCCATGCACTCAGGAAAGACTTGGTTGTATGTAACTGCAGTTGCTAATGGTTGATAGAAAAAGGCCAAGAGAATGGTAATAACAGGACAACAACTAAGGAGCACCATTTTCATAAGAGAGAGAGAGAGAGAGAGAGAGAGAGAGAGAGAGAGTGAGTTTGAGTTTGGATGGTGAGGAGTTGAAGCGATTTGAGGGGATTTATATAGGGGATTTCAGTGCATGCATGTCCGGATTGTAAAAATAAAAAAAGTAAGCAGTGTTGCTTTTCTTGTCATAGTATTTGTTTGGTCATACTTTATCAACAGATATGTACTTACCAAACTCCCATTTATTTAATTTGGATTCCACCTTTGGATGGAGTGTTTTGCTTCTTTTTTTTTTAATTTTTTTTTCAATTAAAAAAAAATGCTTGCCATTCATTTTCACTAAAAGAAAGGTTAATTTCATAATTTCATAATCATTTGAGGTTAGATTACATTCTTAACAAATAATAATAATTAGGGACATTATACTCAATCGCGGTTCTCATAATTTCTTTCTTGTGTCAATTTGATTTATATAGTTTTAGTTGTATCTATTTGCCCTTTAATATTTTATGTTGTGTGAATTTAATCCAATTGATACCTATTTTTAACATATTAGATGGAATGGACAATTTCAAATTGAGTTGATTCTATATACACCACAAATAATAATAATAAATGTAAATTACAACGGTGGTCCTGTAGACACCCCATTTTTGACCGACCTTAAGACTCAGACGTCACTGATTGAGCGCTTGGTGATGTTGCATATCGTGCTCGTTCAGAGGTTTCAGAGTCTCGGCTGCGAGCCTTCCCTTCGGACTTCCGGACTCTTTCATGCTTTGCCTCGGTTTACGAACCAGGCTCTGTTTTCTCTTCCCGAAGGGAGGGAGAGGTCTCGTAGATCATCTCTCAGTGGCCGTAGGCTACGTTTCGTGGTCGTAGGCCATTTTGCCCATTTGGAGTCCGATTTTCGATTTTTTCAGAGTCGTTGGCCGTGTGCCTCGGTTCGGGACCGCTTAACCACCTCCGTTTGCTCCGGTTTTTGGCATGCATCTTATTTGCTCCCTTTTGAGGGACACTGCGGTCCGAAAAACCAACTTCGTGGTCAAACACCACTTTCGATGCCTAACAGTCAGTTTTCGGGGCCTCAGGCTGCACGTTTCGGCCCTCGAACCTCCATTTTGCATCGGTTTGAGTTCATTTTTGGCAGGGACCTCTGTTTCATTGTTAGGAAGGTCGTAGAAGGGTGGGAGGCCAGCAATTGTTCTGACAACCAGTTTTATTCCTCCATCGCCCTCCGTCGCCCGTTTTTCTCACTTGAAAGCCAATGTTGACCACCATAAGGCCACTTTTTCTTGCCCCAAACCACATATTTGTGTTGTACACACCTGGGAGGCCACCAATATCACATGGCTTATATCTCTCTCTTTGTCTCTATATTTAGGCTTAGGAAGTGTATTGTTCTTGACCCTTTTGCACCACACCTCATAGCCTAACACTTCCACCATCAACCCAAGGTTCTTGGAGGTCATTTTCAGAGGTTAAGGAGCTGGGTTTTTGGTCCAGAAGTTGCTGTCTTTGTTGAGCTTTAAGGGTAACTCATTTTCTCCCTTTTTAAGCATTATTTTGATCATTCTCTTAGCCCTATTTGCATGCATATTTAGGCTTTGTTGTCAACTGAGAAAAGCTTCATTTTAAGTGTTTTTCATGTTTTTTTAAGGCCATTTTGTTGTTGGGGGTCGTCTACCCCCCTTGCATGCTCTATTTTTCCTTGTTCTAAGCCATGCTTTAGGGCCTTTGTGTTGACCTTTGCTTGGTCTTGGTAGTCGATAAATCCAGTGGATTTTCAGTGGTGAGAATGTGGTTTTGAGGTCCTAGGTCAGAGAGGGGTGACCCTCTCTCTTGTTGTCTTGTTTACTAGCATTTTTGGCTTACCAAATGAGCATATGTTTATACTATTTGGAGGCCTATTTCAGGAACTTTTGGTGACTTCTAGGACCTGCCTAGGCTCTAACCATGGCTGGTTTGGTCCCCTTTTGCTTGCTTCTTGCATGTGTAGAGTAATCGCTTTCATGGCTTATCAAAGGAGCATGTCATTGTTGCATGTATTGGTCATGTTTCAGTGGGTTTTTGGTCATTTTTTGGCATATCATAGCTCTTTCTTTGGTTGGTTGGGTGGCCTCTTGAATGCTTCACATGCTTGTAGTGTAAACCATACTCACTAGCTTACATTGCATGTTGTTTTGGCCATTGATTCTAGCATATTTTGGCCATACTTCAAACTGATTTTATTCATGTTTTGGGCTGCCTTAGCTTTGTTTTGAGGCCTCTTGGTTGAATGATGCTTGCCATGCATACTTGTAGTGTAATATCCTTGCCTAGCCTTGAGTTTTGGAGCCCCTTGCATGCTTAACTTGAGGTGTTTCCTTGTCTTGGCATCATTGAGCATGTTATTTCAGAGCCTATACTTGTGTCATGTTCCCATGTTTTCCACTCTTTAAATGCGTTTGAGAGTCGTGCTTGTATACCTCATTTATGGGCCATTGCATGAGCTTCATTTGTGTGCATTTCAAGCCATCATCTTAGTCCATTTTGCCATTGTTTTGGGCCTACATAGGGACTGTTTGGGGTTGGTTTGTTCATTTGGGCATTACTTTGCATACCTCTAGTGTAATGTACTTCACTAGTTTCGGTATTTGAGCCATCCAACATGCATAACATGAGTTGTTTGCATGATTTGGGACCATTTTGTATGTCATTTCAGAGCTGGAACATGTGTTGTCGTATGCCATATTTTATCCTTTCAATGGTTTTGTAGAGTTGTATCTAATACCTTAGGCTTTGATCCCTTGCATTGTGCATGCTTGTTTGTGTGTCATTGCCTTGTTTTCATCCTATTTGGCCACTGATTTGGGTGTGGCTGAGGCCCATTCATTTTGGTTTAAGTCCATTTTGCATTGAGTATGCCATTGTAGTTCATAGCATTGAGTATGCCGCGTTGTCGCATGTTTGATCATTGCACTGCGCATGCCTTGTTCACTTCATTGTGTATGATAGTCTTCACATGTGCATTGTGTATGACATATAGTATCATGTGCATTGAGTATACCATTGTTAGTTCATAGCATTGCGTATGCTAGTTTGCATGTTTACACGTCATCCTTTGCATGTTTGCATGACTTGGTTACATCGCCTTAGGATTGCATGCTTGAGGTCACATTGTGCATGCCATTCTACTTGTTGCATTGTGTTTGGAATAAGAGTTAGTCCAAACACGAGAAACGAGAGACGTTTCATACTCCAAGTGATGAAACGTTCCTCGATTCCCAGTCGCCGACACTCTTGACCATCCATGATGGAGTTGTTGGTTTTAGTTGTTTATATGTGCATTCATTTCACATTGAGTCGTGCAATCCGACTCCTCGGCAATCATGCATTGGTGGCCCGAGGATCAAGGACTATACTCCCTAGAGCTTATGCAATGATGGGGAGAGTGGTCGTGCACACATGTATTGCAAATACCTTGCTTTCTCTCTCTCTTGCCTTTGCTACAGAAAATGCAGAAACCAGGAGAATGAACTGGTCGGCCGACCAGGTTTTCTGGCAGGCCGACCACCTTTTCTGGTCTTCACCACCAAGGGTGGTCGGCAGGTCGTCTCCCTTGCCCACAACTGGTCGGCAGCCTTCTCACAGCTTCCCTGGGTGGAGTTTCATCTCTCTGGAGCCTCGTGTAACTTTCTGAAATCAATTGCAAACAAAGGCGAGTCGAGGCATCGCGATGGATTTCCCGACAAGACGACTCGGGCATGCATGCATCCTTTATCATTCATGGCAGAGCTGAGGCAATCCATTTCATGTAGCTTGCATGCTAGTTTATTTGCTTCCTTAGTTAAATTTGTTAATTAGCTAGTGTTGTGTAATAATTAGCTATAATTCGTCATTTATTTGGGTTGTGTAATAATTAGTTTAATTAGCTAAGATTAGCTAGTTGGTTGTGTATTATTCATTCGGACCCTCCGAGAGAGGGCAATGTTATAATAAGTGTGCGTGTGTATGATGTATGTCTTCCAACCCCACGTCTTTCTCCCTTTCATTTACCAGCTTATGATGGTTAGTTTTAGGGCATGTTTCAATTAGCATCCTTATGCTCGTATGTTTACATCTATTCATTTGTTTTGCATGCACCGGGCTTGGCGCATCATACTAACTGCATCGTATTTCAATTCCAAGTTGAATACATGTTACCTGTAGCATCTCATATGCCATCTTAGAATAGCCCAGCCTATCTTAGTTGCATTCTTGCATGTGTTGCATTGGGCATCTCAGCATAGTTAGGATTCATGCATGTTTTCTAATTAGCTTCTTTCTTTGGCTCGGAGTACTCGGTAAGTGTTTCTGCTTTAGCATCCTTGCATGCGTGTGAGTGACTGCCATGATAGCATGCTTACCGTAAGGCTATGTGCTTATGTGATATAACTACCTGAATGCCTGTGGGTGAAGGTTGGGTTGCTTGAATTGGAATAATTCGTCGAAATTCGTGTTTTAACTTACTTGCGAGTAGCAAACTTCAATCCATTTTCAAAATAAACGGATATGCGATGCTTTGTTCTAACTTAGGCAATCTAGTCTATACTTGTATGCTGTGCGCATCACATAGTAATTCTAGGTTAATTACTGGAAAAAGAGCACATGTGTTTTCAAAAACAAGATATCATGTTTAGTAGTGGCCGATCTTTGATCGGGCGAGCGGGGATGCTCATTGCATGACCTTCCCCAATCGTACCCAAGTTCCCAAGCCGAGGCAACTTTGGTGATGATGGACACGTGGCCTTAGGCACGAGTCAGGGTTTCTTAAATTCCCCCAAAATAAAATATTTAGGTGGCGACTCTGTATCTGGCAAAGCAGTCCATGTTTGGCTCTTCTTTCTAAAAATCAATTTTTCAAAACGATTTGCCAGATTTGGACTCTTTGGTGATTTATCAATCTTGTATTGCACTTTGCGAGATCAGGTTAAGA